TTTTCTTATCTTATTTTTATTTCTATTTTAGTAGTAATACCAGAATAAACAGTGGCATAAAGCACTTTTAGCCCATCAGAACAAAGAGAACAAGGACTTTAAATAAACAGGAGTGCTCATAAGTATATTAAAAGAGTTAATACCACTCATTGAAGTACCAGCACTAACGCTGAATCCATTACATAACTTCATTTCTCTTTTGGTAAATTATGTGCACTGATGTCTACACTTCAAGTACCTCCTTAAGTTTTGGAATCCATGTGATGTCAGAGAACACAGCTTAAGATAACAATATTATTTACATAGAAAAATAAGCAAGTGCACATATTTTTTAGCATTAATTTTAACCATGTGGATCATGTCATTTAAGGTTCCACTCTTGTTTTGAATTATTCAGTCTACTTTTATAAATTCACTCTATACATTAAGTATTGACAAAGGAAATATTCTATAATCAGTTGTAAAAATTATAAGTAACTTTTTAAAATGGTTAAGAATCACAGTCACAATTAATTGAGGTTTCTTGAATCTCCCTAACAGGTTCTTCACAGTGCTGTGTGGTAGAAAAGATTCTCAACACTTGATCTACATTTGCTTACCAAAGAATTTAGAGAACAGGTGGAGAGGCAAACTCAAAACACATTAAATCATATCTAAAAATAAAGGTATGTGATTGAGATTATAGGATAAAATATATTACTGAGACAGGCTCTTGGAAGTTAAAGGGAGAGTGAGTCTATGCTCCCATGAGAGAAATCTCCTTTCTCTGAGCAGACAAGGGGAAAAATAGAGAAAGGTTCAAGACATCTGTTAAAGGGCCAAAACAGAAAAAGGAAAGAGGGTGACTATTTTGGAGTCACTAGGCAAATTATCCCATGGTGGTCCCCCAGGGCAGCAATTATAGCAGATCTTAAACCAAACATCCAGAAGACACCTGGTGATGGCACAGAGATAATAGTACTGGGAAGGGACATCTGTCCTCCCTCAAGGCTTGGGATATTCAGGATATGAAGATTATTGCCTGAGAAAAGATCTACTTTGTTCAAACTGTAGCCAAACTGGGCTCTAAGGGACCTTGAGAAAACTATGGTCTGCATTATGAACCAGCCTATCCCAAGAGCCTGCATATGAGAGACATGGTTTTAAGCACACAGCGTGGAGTTTAAGACCCCCACTCTGGAGCATAACCCCTGGATACATATTGTGGTTCTGTCTACAGCTGGCTATATCCTTTGGCAAATTACTTAACCTCTCTGGGGTCTCAATGTCCTAATCTAAAAATGTACATTAAAATGATATTATCTCACAGACTTGTTATGATGATTAAACAAGTTACCACATGAAAAGCACTTAGAACAGGGCCTGACACATAAGAAGTACTATGTTAAATGTTAGCCATTGTTATATAATTTTTATAAACTTAATGTTTGATGTTTACATTGGATTTTCTGTTAAACTTTTAAATACATCTTAGGGGGATTAAAACTTGTTTCACATTCAGATATTTTTTAAAAAGTAGAAAAATGGGACTATGTTCCCTGTTTTACTTGGGAGAAACTGGCATAACCAACCAGTATATTAAGGTGATATACTAGACAACATGTAATTTAGTAATAAATTAAGTATAGCAGGAAATAGTACATGTTCTGTAGAATTATAGAAGAAAAGACTAGTCACCACTAGAATAATCTGAGAGGGTTTCATGGATGAGGTACGAATGGTCCAGCATCTCAAAGGATAAGTAGAACTGAAAGTTAGATCAGACTCCGCCCTCTATTCCAGTAATTTTATGATTCCTTGGAAGAATTTCTTTTTTTTTTTAAAGATTTTTTTATTTATTTGACAGAGAGAGACAACGAGAGCAGGAACACAAGCAGGGGGAGTGGGAGAGGGAGAAGCAGGCTTCCCGCTGAGCAGGGAGCCCGATGTGGGACTCGATCCCAGGACCCTAGGATCATGACCTGAGCCGAAGGCAGACGCTTAACGACTGAGCCACCCAGGTGCCCTCCTTGGAAGAATTTCTGATGCGCTAAATAGACAAAAGAGGAATGAATGTATATTGAGAAAGTTATCTACCCAGAAGAGGACTCATTTGGGAATAATGGAGGTGGGGTGGATAAACCTTGATAAAGACAATCAGATCATAAGGTCCTGAAAAGTAAGTGGTAGGAAAAGGCAAGTCAAAGACAATTATTGAACAGAGAAAGGATGTGCCCTCATTTAGTTGACTAGATGCCTTTTTTTTTTAAAGATTTTATTTATTTTTTATTTGACAGAGAGACACAGCGAGAGAGGGAACACAAGCAGGGGGAGTGGGAGAGGGAAAAGCAGGCTTCCCGCCGAGCAGAGAGCCTGATGTGGGGCTGGATCCCAGTACCCTGGGACCATGACCTGAGCCGAAGGCAGATGCTTAACGACTGGGCCACCCAGGCGCCCTTTGACTAGATGCTTTTTAAGTCTCCAATGGAGAACAAGTTTTTTACCATAAAGTTGTAGAAAGAAGTTTAATTAACAGAACATACTATATAACATCTGAAAGTGAGAAAATTAGCCTGGCAGAGATATGTAGGCAAGATAATGAGGTCTAGCTCGCTGCCAGAAGATTAGTGGTTTCAGATCTACTTCCCATATTAGTTCACAATCTCTTGATAGGAAGAGGAGATGTCAACGTAGGCAAGCTCACCCATATCTAAGATTCTGCTTTTGACAGATATGGATGTGTCAGTTGAAGTCAGGAAATGTGGAGGGATGGAACTCTGGTGGACAAATAAAGCCTATCTGCATTTTCCTGTGGCCAGAGCCTGAAAGAGCTTTTCTTCATCGGATATATAGTTTTTTTCCTTTGCTTTAAATGGTAGTAGGGACTATTTATAAACTATCTAAACAATGACACATCAAACACAGGCTTTAACCTAATCACATGTTTCCAACCTCTACCTTTTCTGGACCTCTCCATGCTCCTCCTCTCTCTCCCTACCTGCTTCTGCTGACATATCAATCATTGTGCCTGTTGTGCAGTAGCTCACTTTAAAGAAAGGTGTCCCACACAGATCCTAATGGAATAGCCTGAGAGGGCTGTGTTTTGGTACCATGTGACCTTAGGATGGAGTTAACTGGACTAGGGGTGAGCAGCTAGAGTGAAAGACTGATTCCTGCTGATGGGATCCTAGAGCTGTCTTGAACTCCAAAGGACCTTCCAGGCTCTGGGACAGAAGACCTTCTGCTCTTTCTGAGGCAAGTTGTTAGCCTTTCCCTTGGATTTCTCACACAAATCCCCTGCCCCATTAGTTGAGGCAACTTGAGTGTTCATTATCCACAAAACCAGGGATCTGGAACACTTATGAAAGTCTTCAAGCTAGTGGCTTTGGCCACAGATGATTGTCAACTAATATTTGTAGCTTTCTAAATGGACATAAACAAATGCTTCTTTCAGAGATAACTTTTACAATTAAAGGGCATCTTTTAAAAATTACTATGTTATGTTAATCACCATACATTACATCATTAATTTTTTTTAAACCTTTAAAGCATTTTATTTTTTTTTCACCATTTAATTTTTTTATTGTTATGTTAATCACCATATATTACATCATTAGTTTTTGATGCAGTGTTCCATGATTCATTGTTTGCGTATAACACCCAGTGCTCCATGCAGAATGTTCCCTCTATTAAAGGGCATTTTTAAAGACTCAGAAAACCTACCAGACTCCACTAAAGAATCTCTAGTGGTAGAATTTCAGAAACAAATTAAGTAGCAAAAGGTATATTTTTGGCAAGGGCTCTGCCCGGTGTTCCTTAATGATATATTGTTTTCAGTATTGAATGTCAAAAAACCCTAGACCAAGGACTTTTATGGTCCCTAATTGTAGCTCTGTTTCTTACTACTTCTTTAATTGTGGGCAAGACCTTTAATTCTTTGAATCTGTTTCCTCATTTGCATATTTATTGTCAGAATAAAGTATAAGGGCACTTCCAGTTCTAGTCTTCTATAATTATGCCATATTGCTTCTACTCAACCACAATAGCAGCCTTTCAATTAGAGTTCACAAAACAAAGATTCTTTGCAAAAGTGAAATTCATCAAGTATGTAGGATGTCCCAATTAACTCTCATTAGTCCATTGTAATAGAGAGCCCTCACTATACATTCTGGAAGGAGGGGAGAAAAAGTAATAATTGGGTGGAAAGATTTTGTAAATACTGTTTTCCTCAGAAGGACAAAGCATACATACATTAAAAAGAGTATAATCTGTACTTACAAATTTTTTGTTAAAAGTATCAAAACAATTAAAAAGTAGACTCAAAAAGAATTAATATTAAGAAGTTACAGGAAAAAGCACTGTTATTTCTCTACTTAAACTATTTACTATGATAATAATTATGGCTAACGTTTATTGAGCACCTAAAACTTGCTAGCAATTATGCTATCCATTCAAATATTGAAGTTCAAAGGAATCTTCTATTATAAAATGCACCATCCTTTTGACAATGATTTTGTGTCCAATTAATATTCACTGTATTCTGCCCAGACTCTTACTTTGATGTACATTAGTGTTTTCCCAGCCTTGCTTAGTAAAAAATAGATTAAAAATAAAAGATAGTGACCAAATATTCCAATATTTGTATTGCCTTAGAGATGAAAGTAGTAAGTCCATATCTCATCATAAATCTCTTTTTCTAAATTGTTTTCCTGGACACAGTTCAAGTAGAACAACCAATCTATTTATGTCAGCCTTGCTCTTTTTAGTGACCTCTTATTGAGCAATGTATTAGATGAAGAGGTTGGGTAGCAAACAATAGCATGCTACAGAAACACTGACTAAGGCCTTCTGCTAGACATTCACATTGCTCCCTTTCCATCCTCTGGGAAAGAAGACACAGGCTGGTTCTAGAAATGACAGCTTTATACCAATGATTGTTCATCCTGAAATGAACTCAAATGTGAAACATGTATCTGTACACATGAGTGTATGTACACTCATACATTCACAGCTAATCTTACTTGGTAAAATGACTTGTTGCTTCCAGGTCTGTGTCTTGTGGACGAAGATTATTATACACATATTTCAGGTCTTGGATTCCACCCAGCTCAGGCAATCCTGCATGTATCATCTTAGCAAATCAAACAGAACAAAAACAAAAGAACTCAGAATAAATGTAAATCAAATCTTACTTAGTTAAGTTTGGTTAAGCTTACTTGGTTAATTCTACAAATACATATAAACTTAAATTTACATAACAACGCCTTTCAGTTTGTAAACATGAATGGATATAATTCATGTCTTTTTTACTTCCTGTGTTTACTAACAGAAGCAACAAACAATAGTAATAATAAGAAGAACCAATAAAGTTGTCAAAGTGCTTGCAGATTAATAATTTAATTTTATCTTCATCATAAGCCAGTGAAGTAAGCGTGATAGTATGATTATCCTCACCTTGTCTTTTTGTAGAAGAGGCATATTCAGCACTGGACAGTAGAATAATTAGGGTTCTAGTGTCAGAATCTCTGGACCTACTATTCAAAATTTGAATAATCATGAAAAAAGTTTCTTAAGTTCTTTGAATCTCCATTTTCTCTTTTAAAGTAGAGATAAGAATACCCAACAAGTTCTAGGGCAATCAAATGGTTAATGAGTAAGGAAAGGATTTATGCTTACAAATTGTTACACAAAATTATATTGCAATATCTATTTTAAAGAAGAAAAACTTAATCCCCCCAAAAGTGTAAGTGAAGTGTCCAGATCAAATGGTGTGGAAGCACAGAGTATAAAACATCCCTCTGGTTCTTAATCTTACATTCTTTCATGACTCTATGACTCATATTCTAAAAACACAATTTTCCCTAGTTAAGTGGTGATTCCATTTATTAAAGATTATTAAAGCAATGAAGTAAAGATAAAATTATACTAAGTCTCAGATATTTTTTTCTGCCAACCTTTGGAAATGTACTGTGTTTATACTATAATGTAGACTGAAGGGATAATACTCTTTAGTTATAGGCAAAAATAAAGAAAATATTTTTTGAGAAAAAGATCTTTCTGAAATAAATTTAAACTTTGAAAAAGAAGAAGGAGGAGGAGCATGAGGAGGAGGAGAAGAAGGAGGAGAATGTCAACATTACCTCTATGACTAAGATGATAAGTTATTTCCTGTTCTGGAATAAAGGCACTCTTACAGTAGTGGGAAGTTAAGAACAATGTTACTAATGCGAAAAATAAAGGATAAAGTAAGAATATGGTTAGGAGAGGTGCGTGAAGTTGTGATTGACTTGATGAAGTTCAAGCAAGAAAGAAATGGTTTTGAAACTGTTGTCCTTTCCCACTGTCCGCACTCAGGCAGAGGGAACAGCATACATAGATGTACTGAGGAGAGCAAGACATCTTTCATTAGTTCACAAAAAGAATTCCAGGAGAGCTTCTGGAACATAAGATATCCTGGGGATGGGTGACAAGAGATGGGGCTAAAGCGGTAAGTAGAGTAAGATCTTTTAACAATATAAAAGTTTTGTACTTTATCCTAAAGGCGAGACAGCTCTTTTAGTGTTTTTAAATGGGCATGAAAACACTGAATTGTGTTTTAAGAAGATCATCGTTGTTATTTAGGGAACGTGGATTAAAGTGAAGCCAAATAAAAGACTAAACTAGGAGAATGTTTAGGAATAAAGAAAAAAGATAATTTATTGGATTTTAAAGATATGTAGGAAGTAGAGTTGGATAATTAATTGGATATATTTGGATGGCTGGGTGGAATCTAAAGCATATAGCTGTAAATATAGATTTGGGAGTCATTAACAGATAGTAATTAAAACCATGAAATGGATCAGGTAGTCCTAGAAAGGTGTTAACTGCTTCTCCTCATGGATCATCAAAATACATGATATCTAAATTTGAGCAAATTCTCTTCTTCTATAAATTCCTTTTTCCTGTTTCCCAGTGCCATTTAAACTGCCACCATTGTCCAGTTAACAAGAACTTCACATCTTTGATTCTTCTTCCTGACTCCCAATGTCAGTTACATTATTCTATAAAAACCATCTCAACGATCTCTTGTATTCTTTCCCCTTCCCACTGCAATTACTATCCTAGTTCAGCTCCTCATCTTCATTAGCTTAGATAACTTGAGTAGCCTTTTTCTAGTTCTTTAATTCCTCTCTCTCTAATTACATAACTTCTGTTTAAAATCCAAGCTAGATGATGGTACTCTCTTCATCAAAAGCAAAGAAACTTCTAGGTTCTCAGGTGTCTATATATCAAAGTCCAAAATCCTCATTCTGGTCACAAATGTCTTTTATAATCTAACTGTGATCTGTCACTTCATCTATTTCTATATAGGTCTTCCTTTGTACCACAGACTAGGTACATTTGATTACCTCTATTTCCAACACATGTCATGCGCATGCTCTTCAAGCCTCCACACATACTTATATTTTTCTCTGAGCCAAGATTCCTTTCCTCTCCCTCCTTAACTATTGAAATTCCTTTTGAAAGTGCAGCTTAAATATGTTTTTCTTTTTGAAGCACCACAGATTTTCTTGGTAAGATTTAATTACTGCTTTCTTTGTACAGCAATCCAATCTTGGTCACACCTCTTTCAAGTACTATGTTTTGTTCACATATATGTTTATCACATTCAATTTGAAGTCCTTTGAGGACAAGAACTGAGTTGTTATTTGATGTTAAATTGTTAATATTGTCAAGCTTGGTGCCTTGCAAATAGAACTTAATGAAAGTCTGTGAAATAATGTGTGCTTGCATGCATGAATGAATGACTGACTATGAAATTTAAAAATCAACCATAGAGAGTATATTTCCAGCAGCAACTAAAGTCTAGATTAGGCTTTATCTTTTCAGTTTTGTACTAGTTCTAGAGACATGTGTATACTTATTGTGAAAGTTTCCCCTTTATCAGACTATGATTGCCCATTTGCTAAGAAGAGCTTCTTCCCTAGATCTGAATTGCTTTCTGGTTTCTCTGGATACTCAGAATTCACCCCTGCTCGCTTAGAACTCTGTCAAACAATTTCTTGGGAAGTACATCCTATACATACTCCTTCTTCTCCCCCCAACCCCATTATACACCAACTGCCAAGTATAGATGGCTTCAAAGTAGATGAATCCAGCTCTCTCCTTGTTATGTGGTTGATTAAAAGTAAACAAGTGCAAGCTTTGTTGAGAGAGGAGACTTTGAGTATTGTGACCCTGCCATTGGAGTATGGATGACCTCACACCAGGGTCCACTTAATCATGTCTGTTCTCTGACTCACAGAGATGTGGTTCAAGTCCCTCTTAGCCTAGATTACATGGGTGATAACTTTATTTGGGGCAATAGGAAAGGGAGAGGGTGGCTAGGCTAGTATAGGTAATGAACAGATACAGGTGATAAACAGATAAGTTCCTTTTTAAAGGAGAGGAATACTTTAAAATTTTCAACTTCTGTTCTCCTCCTACTAAGTCCAAAGCTATTTTGATAGTTATGCTTAGGAGGGAAACAGACACTCTTTGCCACTACATAGAGCAGTTAGAAAGATTTCTTCTGGGAAATATCTGATATAATAATGGGTGTGATAAACATTTTAAACTGGGTGAATGGTCCCTGTGTTCTTTGGGAGCCTTCCATAATAGCTGATATTGATTTTTTAATGAGAGAAAAGCTGATGAAATACAGGCTTTTATGTTAGTGAATTCAGCCAGCAACACTCTTGGGTCTCCTACAGATGTTTTGCTTTTAAGCAAGATGGGAATTTCATGGATTATTTTTTCCCTGCTTCTCCCAGGAGTAAATAAAAAGGACTGTGGATATCTGGAAATATGCTGCTCTCAACAAGGGATGAGCCATTAACTCCATAGTAGATTCACCAAACACTTGTGACTCATAATCCTGGATACTGACCATTCACAGAAGTTAGAATTTATGATCCATGTCAATTATTTCTCAAGTTGTAACTGGGTCATGGAGTAGTAGATTGAGTTCTTTTAAAAGAAGTTAATACAACAAGAGTCAGTTTGAGAGAGAATTGAGGGAAATATTGATTACTCACATGGGCAGAAAATAATCTTTCACAAATTTAAATTTGGTTTTTATTTTATAGGAAGCTATGCCAGAGAAAATGTGGTCCTGAAACCTTTACTGATGCTTTGGTTATCTATAGAATCCCATAAGAAAGAAACCTCAAAAGCAGAGACTGGAGAGGTAAATGACCAGAAACAGAGGGAATAACATACTACTGTTCCATATGTATTTATTCATTGGTCTAATTGGTCCACATTGCTTCTGGTCTGTTTCAGTTTCTGTGAAAGTCTAAATCTAAGATTATTTGCTTAATCTGAATTTGTGCTTTTTACTGCCAAAATTTCCTCCTTAGCCTTGAAGTCAAGACTTGAATAATTAGAACATAGGGAGATTTTTTCGTCATACTGTGTAACAGAAACCTTCAACATTTGATTTTAATATTATTTTATGAAAAATTACTTCAGGTACTTGATAAAACACCATCTACTTCTTTTACATGAAATAACATTATATAAACTCTTTACATTATAGTTTTTTTGTTTTTGTTTTTTTTTTAGAGAGAGAGTGTGCATGTATGTGAGTGGGGAGGAGCAGAGGGAGAGGGACAGAGAATTTTAAGCAGGCTTCCCTCTCAAAGTGGAGCCCACACGGGGCTTGATCTCATGACTCTGAGATTATGACCTGAGCCAAATTCAAGAGTTGGATACTTAACTGACTGATCCAGCCAGGTGCCTTATAAAAATAATTTTTTATATATTATGACACATGTGCTATAAGTTTTCTTTTTAGGTAAGTAGAAAAGTTTATTAAACAAGAGAAAAAAGCCCACCAATAGCTTTTTCAATCAATTTTTTCAAATGGCTGTCCTTTTACTTAATATGCTCACTTTTGTTATTCAGCATAATTTTAGTGTCACCTGAGAAATAGCATAATCTGTATTTGTGCTTTTCTACTTTGGGTTTATTTTTAAAATGTTTGTGGTTGTTTCAAGCAGTTGTTAGAGTATGGTACTTACTCTTTGTATGCAGTTATTTATAACATTATAAACATTTAAAAATGCTGGACACCTCATTTATTGTGTACACGAATTTTATCTTCCTTACCATAGTGAAAATTTTAAGTCTGCCTAGGTCTCACATGTTAATGTATCCTCACAGTTTTTGGCACACAGTACTCACGAACTCATGGATTCATGACTTAGAGCCTGTTAGAGACCCAGAGAATATTAGAATGATACTACCTAGATATTTATATGTAAATGGAGTCAAGATCACAGAGTTAGTCCTTGTAAAGTTTCCTTTGTGGTGTGAACACAGATTATGAGCCATAAGCCATCTCATAATTGCAATATGGCCTAATAGAATTGGGAGATAGAATGCAAATCTACCAATATGAATCATTAGCTATTATTGGAATAGCCAACTTGAAAATTCTTGAAATGGGAAAAACTTTATATACCCAGTTCACACATAAAGAAACAAAAATGTCTTTATACATGAAAGACAACATGTTTATAGTATTTTTTAAAATATCTATTTTTTTAAGACAGAGTAAGGTGCATATGTTGTTTGAAAGTTAAAACAAGGACCTAGTCAAATCTTCATTGCAACAAGGTCAACATTTATTCAGCACTACCCAATAGAACTTTTCTGCAATGTTGGAAATGCTTTATAACTGTGTTGTCCAATATGGTATCACTAGCCATGTGTGGCTATGGAACACTTGAAATGTGGCTAGTGAGACTGAGGAGCTAAATTTTAAAGTTTAGTCAAAACTAATTAATTTAAATTTAGGTAACCACACATGAGTGGGAGCTACTCTATTGGACAGTGCTCTTTTGGATTAATAGGATCTAGTATAATAAATTAATTGAACCTTACAACATGACAGACACTGTGTTAAGTGCTTTATATTAATTACCTAATAGGGTTATTATGAAATATAAATCAATTAATATACATAAAACACTTAGTGTAATGTTCATGCAAAACATTCACTATTAGGTCATTTATTCATCAATCCTACAAGGTAGATACTATTATCTTCATTTGATGGATGAGAAGCATTATTTTATTGGAGTTAAGTAAGAAGTCTGTGCCCTTAACAGCATCTAGTAGAATTATTGTCATCTGAAGGTTCTAAACCAGCTATTTTTTATAATTGCATTGGCTCCAAACACCTTCCTGATTTACCAAAGTTGTGTTTCTCTCCTACATTTTGCTACAATAACTAGTGTGTATGTATGTGCCTAAAGGAATCACCCCATCCTTCTCCAAGAAGATATTTCTATCAGATCCCTCTCCTTTCACCCTGTATATCTAGTCTCCATCTCTTTAACATTCGACAGTGGAATGAAACTTAAATTTTCCACTGTAAGTCAACAGAGAACATATAGGAGCATGACTCAGTAGGAACCAATGGACACCACTAAATGTACTACTCTCTGGTCGAGGTGCTAGGAAGCTGTCTTATATTTTGACCCCCAGTTTCTTAATCTGGAAAAAGGCAGAGATTGGGAGGGGAGCCAGGAAAAATCCTTGCCTGGTCTACATCATTGGGTTGCTATGGGTGTAAATGAGATAGTATTTTTTAAAATACTTTTGAAAAATCCTTAAGCACTATACAACTGATACAATATTCTAAATTACTGTCCTTAATCTTTAATCAAAATATACTGAGGTAACCCCTGAATACATCAATATTATTGTGAATAGAAATGTTTGAGACAATAACTGTGAACTAATGGAATGAATTATTAAGAAATGTGTTTATAAGTTATACAATGGTACTTTTAGCTTGTTCATTCCCTTCTGGTTTGAATAGCTCTTTGGGGAATGCCAAGCCATTAGCAAAAATAGACTACTGAAAGAGAGACATAAATGAAGCGTATTATTTTTGTTGTTTCCCCAAGGGACTTACCATTTCTAACAGGTTCAAGAGCAGTCGACTGTGCCTTCTGACAATATTATAAGCTTGACAGCAAAGCTCCACAAAATCTTGGAAACGCTGTGGGTTTTTCCCACCCTCTGTAATAAAGTACTCCATCTCTGAAGTAAAAATAAAAGGTGCTCGGTCCCTACAAACCCAAAAACAATAGCAACCATAAGCAGGAGGAGAAATGGTGTGTAGAGCTCAATTAGGCAGTTAGAGCAACTTATTTTCATTTTAATTTTTTATGTTATTTTCTCTCTACTCTAAGGAATGGAACCACCTCCTTTATGGGATAGCTGGAGAAACTTGTTAATTGTAGGGTTTGAATAGTTTAGCTGGGCTACAACAGAGAAGGAAGAACAAGTTATTTTACAACATGGTCTCAAATATTTAATTCCAAGTTACATTTGATGGAAATATTATCCATTAAAAATTAATCTAAGGCCAATTAATAACAAAGGTGATTTTACAGAAACTATATGGCTAAATTGTTGCTAAATTTTAAAATAATAGGACAGACCAAGTATTTGACCTCATGTTTTTGTTTTTTTTTTAAGTTTTCTTTTTTTTCTTAGAAGATATTGACTCTTTAGGGAACAAGTTTCAGGTAATAGCTAAGATATGTAATGACAAGTTCTTTCAAAAGGCAACCTATGAAAAAAAATTTAAATTCACTGTCATATGCTTTGTAAGGGAAAAAAAAAGGAGGCTGTATTTCATTTCACACTAGGCCCAATAAAAATATTGATCAGAAAGAAGGAAATATGAGCAAGCCAATATGAGTTAGTAGGTAAATAATATTGCCTCCCATAGTCCCAAGGTTGAAGAAATAGGAAAACAAAGGACCAGAGAAATGATCGTGTTTTCTCTATTTTTGTCATTTTTTTTTCTAATGTTCTTTGAGACATGAAGAGACCCAAGATGAAGCAAAGGCATTTCTAAGAAATTAGCAGAGGAAGGATTGGAAACACTTCTCAGTGATGTGAAGAATAATGATGAAACAAACCATGCTGATACTGTTTTGGCTTAAGGTCCTCTAGAAAGATTTGAGATGGGAATACAGTTTTGGGTAAACATTGTTTTTAAAAGTAAAGATTTTTGAATGAATTGAAATAAAACATATTTTAAAATTTGAGCCTAGAAGCCTAGATATAATTAAGGGTTAGTCTAAGCAATAATTGAAAAAAGTCATGGACTATTGAGAAAGCTTCTTTTTTTTTTAATAAAGAATGATTATGTTCTGTATTGTTGTATGATTAGCATTTGAATAAAAATACAATAGAATGAAAAATCTTGCTAATCTAACTTAGACGGCTCAGAAGTGTAGATATTCAAATCAGAAAGCTACAACCCAGGCATTTTGTAGCTGATCTGGATCAGTAGAACCTGACCACAGGCAAGTATTTTAAAGAAAATAAATAATCTACCTCTGTTTGATTGTGATTATTTTATTTTATTTATTTATTTTAGCGATCCATGCTACCATTGACTGGAGGGGAGGCTGGTGTAACAATATCTTAACTTTATATTCATTCATTCAGTCATTCATTCATTGAACAAAGTTTATTGAGCATCTAGATACTGAGGAATGTGTCTTAAGAATCAAGTCCAGGGGCACCTGGGTGGCTCAGTTGGTTGAGCCACTGTCCTAGGCTCGGTCATGATCCTGGAGTCCCGGGATTGAGTCCTGCGTCGGGCTCCCTGCTCAGCGGGGAGTCTGCTTCTCCCTCTGACCCTCCCTCCCTCATGCTCTCTCTCATTCTCTCTCTCTCAAATGAATAAATAAAATCTTAAAAAAAAAACTAAGTCCAAATTTTAAAATGTTTGCCTCAAATCCTTTTATTTTTGGCCTTCATTGATTTATCCAATCTATATGTTATGAATTTACTTTACAGCCCTGTATTTTAGCCAAGCTGGAAGCAGAGCTATTGAAAACAGGAGATATACCGTGGGTTCTAATCCCAGACCTGATGTATCTCAATTTCCTCATCTCTGAAGTCGGAATACCTAGCTCTTAGAATTGCTGTGAAGATTACTAAAAAAATGTACACAAATGCATGACACATAGAGAAGGTTACACACTTGTGAATTGCTATGATTAGAAGCTCTATGCAGGCGGCACAGATTTCAGGTGCTTGTTAACCATGTTTTCAATCATGTTCTAGCACTTACTACTTCTGTGATTCTGGGCAAGTTACCTGTCCTTTCCATGCCTTAATTTCCTCCTCTGTAGAATGAAGACAAGGGCAGTTGACTCTTGGGACTTTTGAGAGGATTAAACAGGTTAAAGCATATAACAGTTAGAACACAGTCTGGCACATAGTGAGCACTCAACGAATGTTAAATACTGTTATTAGTCCTCAAACTAATAAAAATGAATGGGTTCTCAGAGCTGAATTTTGTCATAACTAAATCTTCTCTCTACAAAAATGCTGCTAGTGAATTTCCATCCTTCCTTCAAGGTTTAATTTACTCCCAGCAACTCCATATAACTTCTTTGTCTGCAAAAACCCTAAGTGGACCTTTGAATTTGGTAACACTTTTTCTGTATAGCTGACACATGTAGTCATCTCTATTGCTAACATTTTACTAGAGTTTTAGCAATATCCTAGACTTTCATAATCAGAAAAAAATATATTTCTATGTATAAGAATTTTCCAATTTTTTTCCTACTCTTTGTACTATATTTATTTTTATTATATTGAATGGAACTTTTGAAATAATTTTAAGAGAGTCTTAAATCACACAACTTCCTTAAATTTTCTTTTCTAATGTGATAGATATCCTTTTTTCTTCCATATGCTTGACCAAGTGGATTTCCCTTGGAAAGTTGTTGTAATTATGCTCAGGTTCATGTGATAACACATTTCCTCCTTCCATGGTAACCATCATTATAAATCAGATGAAGAAACACCACAGCAGAAAGTCAAATACACAAAAGAAACATATCTAAGTTAGAGAAAATATGAACTAATAACAATATTGAAGGACCCAATCTTAGCTGTGTTTAAATATTATCATAATCTAAATTTTCAGTGGGTCCAACAAAATAAAATGCTATATTTTTTCTATATGACTTGCATGACTCACTTCTGACCAATCTTTAAAATGACTTAGACTAAAATTTTTCTATGAATGGAAAGAAGATGCACACATGAAACAGAATCCTATCCCATCCCTACAAGCTGTAAGAATCATAGCTGGGATGTGCTTTATCAGTTCACTCAAATGCAAACCTAATCCAAGGTCATAGAATTAATGTATTGGAGACTATGTCTGAAATTTAAGCAATACTTATAAATCTGAGATATAAATTGGTTGTGGCAAGAGAGAAGATTGGAAACTATTTGATCTCTTAGAGTCCATACTATTATTGCATTCTGATTCATATGCTGAAAACTTCTCACTTATAGCTGGACAAGTTTACCAGAAATTTCTTGTTGTGACTATCTTACTGTTTCTATTTCCAGATTAGTAGTTTTACTATTATTTGCCTAAGCCCTACCTGTTCTTGCTTCTGTACCTTTTAACTGTATTGTTTCTTGCCTCTGTCCATGTTTCTCTCTCTCTCTCTCTCTCTGTCTCTCACCTAATGTCTTAATTTTTTTTCTAGTAAGTCTTCTCTAATTTACCCATCCTTTGCTGATTTCTCACCTACTTTGTCTTATCTTTTAATTTAGCCCTACAGCTAATACATTTCATTCTTTATAGTTTCAATTGTCTTATGATTTATCCCCCAAATGAACTGTGTGATTTTCAAGGGGAGAGACATTATTTTATCTTTCCTTTATCTACTCTTAATGTCTCAAACAATATTTTGATGGTATTCTGCAATGGATGCAACAGTAAATATACATAGCTCATGCAGTGAAAAAGTTAGATGATTTAACATTTATGTGGGAAAGCCATGTGAACAATCTTATTTGTTATAATTCTGTCATTTTGTTGTCAAAGTTAATCTTTTTATTAACTTATAATCAGTTCTTCTCTGAAAATATTATTCTTTAAAAATGCTGAGAATAATTTCTAGAGGTCCAATATAAGTGAGAAGTAAGTAGTACTTTAAAAATGCATATATACTTGAGAAATTTAAGGATATTTCTGTTAAAAACAAATACTAATTATTAAGGAGACAAACAAATTCATTTGATATGGGAAATAGCAGGACAATTAATAATTTGCTGTTTGTTATTATTTATGCATAAACTCCCCCTTTAACCATTCTGTAGATGTAATCTCCTTGTATAAACTCACTAGAATACTAAGATCATCATCATTGCACTGAGGGTGCATTAGTTTTCAGGATATGCCTCTCCATTAGGTGACTTTAATCCAGCTAGGGAGGCATGCCCCCCAAATGTTAGCGTACTATAGTTATTTATCAACAAATATTTATTGAGCATCTACAATAGATATGTGTGAGTCTTATAGGTAAGGTTAAAGATTTTAAAAATAAATATCCTAAAAGCAATAAAAATGTATTGATAATAATGACAATGTTTTGAAAAGTCCCTCCAGCTGTAACATGGAGAAGAATTTGGAAAAGGGAAGTTGCATGTGAGTAGATCAGACAAGAGACTTTTGCAGAAGATTTTGATTAGATATGAGAATAGCTCAGATTAGGATTGTGTTATGCCGATACAGAGAAGTGGGAAGACAACAAATATTTTGAATCAAAAACCAAGAGGACTTCATATGATTCAAAATGAAAAGGAGAAGAATATTAGGAACACCTTTACACTTTTGGATTGTGTGTCAGGAAGACTATAGTGCAACGTTCAGAGTGGGTTCAGCTTTGAAAGAGTTACCTTTGAGGTGTCTTTGAGACATACAGGAGCAGATGACAATGAGGTATTGTGACACTTATTTCCAGACCATAAAGAAAAGATTTAGCCTGGAGGTAAAATTTTGTGAGTTAGATTACTACTTTGACTACCTAAGGACCTCAGGACTCAAGAAACAATATGGTGGTGAACTCTCTGGGTGTTCTTTTTGCCACATATATTCCAAACATAGAGTTCAAGGAGATGGCAGTTTGAAAATGCCAGTGGGTACAGACAAAAAAAATTGCCAAGAAAAGCCTGCTCTTTCTAGCCAAAGGCCCAGGAAAAGGGTAACCTAATGAGACAGAAAATTTTAGACAAT